AGTGGGAATAGTTTACAAAGTTCTCGGCCCGAGAAGGTGCCGAATAAAATAGATAGTTGGGATTTGATAAATAAATAAAAGAAGATACACGCACGGGGAGTCGACCCCCGGCCGCTTGCTAACTGATTAATGGAAGGCAAGCATGATGTCGTTTCACCACACATGTATTACACTTTTGGATAATATTCCTCGGTATCGACTCGGCGTGACGAAGCCGAAGGAAATAACGTTAAGCCATAGTAGGGTTATAGGTCAGTATAAAGGAAGAATCGCGAGGGGTACCAGTTAAAGCGCCCGACTGAGGAAAATAGTCTGTTATGTATAGTGGAAATTTGCTTAAAGATTCTACTATTCAAGTGATTATAATAAATTGCTGTGAATAAATCTGTGAGTGGATCTGTGTTCAAGTTGTGAACTTGAACTACTGCCAATGTGCGTAATCCGTATAACCGTGTGGCCGATGTCTGCTGCTTCTCAATTTAAAATCAAGTGAATTTCCAATGAATATCTCAGGAAATCTCTATATACATTATTCTATACATTATTCTTCCTGGGAAGATATATAATATACATCGAATGAAGACCAGATATTTTCTTCGGCTTCGAATTCCTGCCCTGTAAGGCGTAGTCTCAGCATCAGCAATTCTTCCAAGGAAAATTAAAACGTACGTACCATTTTCTTCGTTTATTGATGGCGAACTGGTTACCGTTGACCAAATATGAATAATTTTAATACCTCGCTGACTGCACAGCGATGCAAGTTTGGCCACATATTCAGGTATAGTAGAGTACCTCCCCGACGACCAGATATCTCCTGACCCAGGGATTCCCAACCGTAGGAACTTTAGTTCCGCTAATGCAGGCGCATTTAAAGCAAGTTGATAAATAAACCAATATGGTCCATTTTCGGAATCCGCATCAGAGCGTAAACGGATCGTGCAAGATTTTAAAGGTCGTGTAGGCCATTGCATTCATCGAATCCTGGACCGAAATTAACTAGTCCCAGATTTCACGTCATTTTGCAGCCCCGTATCAGAGATATACCAAGTGAGCATGAAGATACGCATATGCATGAGTTTGGGATGATATGCAGCCAGGATAGTGTCCTCAGATGGTTTCTCGTGAGATGTTTGTAATTTCTGGGACCATGTCTTCACAAAATGGTTGGAGAGACCCTGAGGTTGAAATTGATGTTATGGGGATTTGAATAAATAGGAGGGATAGCTCCTTTCCATGTTATAAGAGAGAGAGTTTCCTTGGAAGCGGTAAGGAGCCAAACGAGCTCCTCGGATCTGTGTAGTTTCATCAGTGATGACCAGGGGCGTGCGTATATGATGAGTCCTTAGAGTCTCCAGTTTGGAGGAAAATAAACAGGAAGCTCTCCTTCTTCGGATTCGAGGTTACTCCATATATCATGAGTGCCTAGGATCTTCAAGTTGGGCATCCGCTCCGATAGGGATTTCATGGAATATTTGTCCAGAGAACCGGTCCAACCCAAATCTAACGCCGTGAGTTGAGGAAATACCGTATTAAACCTGCTAAAAAAACGTCTGATCGTTAAAGATCCTGTGTGTACGTGTTGACATCCGGAGTGTCTTCAAATACGAACACTTGGAAATAAGTGTTGCGATATCCGCATAGCTCTCGTCATTCTGTTTCGAATTATTTCCCCTTTTATACTCTGTGAAGTCTAGGGACTGAATCACAATTCCTATGTCTAGATGCACCTCCAACATGGAGAGAATGAAACGGCATTCCGCGGACGTTCGAATCCTCAGGTTCCGGCTCGAGTCTCGTCTAATGATATTCTAAGCTGGGAGACGCCATGCCCAACAGACAAGGGCGCAAGGCAATAAAAGTTCTTGGTAGAACGGAATTGAAGCGCGGAATTGAAGCGCGGAATTGAAGCGCGAAATTTGAGTTCTAGCATGGCTCGAAAGAACACAATATCTCGAAGATTGTGTTGTTGTTGGATTAGGCAAGGTGGTGTAGAGAGAATTTCGAAGATTAAGGGGAGGATATCTGTATTGAGGGTCGTCATGCTGGATCTAGAGGCGAGGAGAAATCACTGAAAGTCAAGACAATGGCCGCATTGTCTCATGATGACGGCTCAGTCCCCGGCTGCCACGCAAAGTCAAACGGTTGCAATCTATCAAACAAAATCACAAATGCTTCATGAAATCCCGCGCTAATGGCCCTTAAATTAATCAGTTTAGCATCGCTTTTAAAAATGAGATTAAAGGTGCTCAAGTTATAAAAGGAGGAGATGCTGAAGATTATATGATACTCGAGCTTGATAAAATTGAAGGCAAAAATACACGCACGGGGAGTCGAACCCCGGCCGCTTGCTACCTCTCAAGTGGAAGGCAAGCATGATACCGTTTCACCACGCGTGTATGATCCTTCGTCCAAGATTAATATGGTATCATATGATTCCTACGTAAATAGTATTCCTTCACACTAACATCATTTGGGCTAATGAAGGATGCAATTAAATCTGTTCTTTCAGCGTACTAACTGATAGCGGTCAGACGAATATCCTTAGTAAACTCGAGAAAGGATTGATTAGAATTTTTGTTTGTTTGGATAAACTTGTAGCCTTATTTGGTTCAGACCTATAAATACAATGTCTATTATATCCAAGATACGATTATTTCAGAGTATGAGTAACGACACATATGGTATTAGCACGTTTAGTAGGTATTTATCTTACGACGTTTACTCCGATATTCACCCCATGACGCCTTTCGGAACAGTTTTAATAACTCCTGGGTAGTATAGTGGGAATTACACGCTGCCATGAGATACGCTATGATTAGCGACTGCGAGACCGGGGTTCAAATCCTTGTCCGGGAGTGCTTTTTTCGGGTGCTAATTTCGATTCCCTGTCGGGTTCAGACCTATAAATACAATGTCTATTATATTCAAGATACGATTATTTATATTCAGAGTATGAGTAACGACACATGTGGTATTAGCGCGTTTAGTAGGTATTTATCTTACGACGTTTACTTCGATATTCACCCCATGATGCCTTTCGGAACAGTTTTAATAGCTCCTGGGTAGTATAGTGGGAATTACACGCTGCCATGAGATACGCTATGATTAGCGACTGCGAGACTGTCAAATCCCTGTCCGGGAGTGCTTTTTTCGGGTGCTATTTTCGATTCCCTGTCGTGGCTTCTCGTCTGTGGCTTCTCGTCTCATACTAGTTTGAGGTAGAGTAGCAATAGACTTTGATAGAGTTCTACTCATTCTTCAGCTCATATTATTCTAAGCAGTTAGCACTCTATCAAAGTCTATTGCTACTCTACCTCAAACTAGTATGAGACGAGAAGCCACAGACGAGAAGCTACGACAGGGAATCGAAAATAGCACCCGAAAAAAGCACTCCCGGACAGGGATTTGAACCCCGGTCTCGCAGTCGCTAATCATAGCGTATCTCATGGCAGCGTGTAATTCCCACTATACTATCCAGGAGTTATTAAAACTGTTCCGAAAAGCGTCATGGGGTGAATATCGGAGTAAACGTCGTAAGATAAATACCTACTAAACGTGCTAATACCACATGTGTCGTTACTCATACTCTGAAATAATCGTATCTTGGATATAATAGACATTGTATTTATAGGTCTGAACCAAATAAGGCTACAAGTTTATCCAAACAAACAAAAATTCCAATCAATCCTTCTTATGCGATATCGATCTACGTCAGGCATCTTAGATACCTTATCTTGCTGGATGTGGGGCAAAACGGACTGATATGTCAGTAAAATTGTATCAGTGTCAATTTGATGATCATCTCTGGCAATCTGACCTTATGCTTCATGCTTCACCCATCCTTTCCTTGGGTAACACTACGTAAGGTGTTTGAGTATCCATGCATTCATCCTCGCGAACTTCGTTATCAATGATGAGACTACGATGCTCGTTCAAGCTACCAATAATAGGGGCCAGGTGGATGACAGGACAGACTGGGATGATGAGACCTAGAGAGCCCCAGCGCGAGAGGGAGGAGGAAGAAGAGAGATTCGAAGGGTCTCCAGGACATGGATCTAGGCAAAGGGGATGA